CGTCTTGAAGACATTCACGACTAAAGGCCAAGTTCGAAGAAAGAGGCATCACATTCAATGCACCCAACCTTGTCTTGCGCAGTCAACGCAAGCTCCACATTATCAAAACATTTGGCCAGAAGTCGACAAAAAGGTCTTGGGTAGGGTTCTGCAAGTTTTGTACGCCAGATCCCACCCGATTGCCCCATCAAGGCCAGGTGAGGTTTACCAGTGAACAAACAAAGCCCTCGCTTGCTTCCTCGGCAGTAATGTGACTCAAGAATTGACAAATCAATGTGAACTCCGAGAATTTTTGTAGGCTTTTTCCAAGCAGTTCCAAAAGCACAATAGGTGACGTCAACCGTCTGAACAAATCTGCGGCGCATGACTCGCAACACTGATGAAATCCACAGTCTTGAACGGCTGGGGTTTTCCATGGTGAAGGGTACATGCAGTTGAAGTGCCAGTTGTAAAACACGACAGCTAAAGTACATAAGCCCTAGGGGTCTCTGGTCGCTGCGTAGCGGCGGCGGGCCCCCTGGCCGATCCCGAGCTCAAGAGAAACTGTTGCAGGGAGTACCAAGGTGCCCCCCAGATATGTAACCCTGTTCAAGCCAGTGAAGGATCCGACGTTGGTTGCAGCGTTTGGTCAAGTCGTATGCAGGTCCTAGTGAAATGTCCCACAGCAAACATGCACTAGCCAAATGTCCACTCCCCAGAAAAAATCTCCAAGAAAAAGGATCCATGCGGCACAAAACGACACAACAAGGCAGCTACAGGAAACTTCTGCTTGCTGAACGGCCTGAGCGCCTTGGCGCTGCACGCTTGGATCTAGGCTTTTTGAAGAGTTGTTGCAGCCTTCCCCCCTTTGTGTAATTCTTGAGGGATTTCACTGTCTGCCAGCGGCCCCGGGACTGGATGCTTGTCAATTCCCGTAGGCCCATAGCAGCATCGTGCGAAGCTCCTCCATGTCTCAGCCGGTATAGGTGGGGAGCCCCCAGTGGTTTCAGGCCGAGTGGCTCCCAATGAGTCTCCACAAACGAAACCAGCTCGCTCTGATCTATGCTGAAGGCCGGTTCCGACCGATTGCGACTGTTCAGCCGCAGATGCTTCTCCAAGGCTGGCCCCAAGAAACTCTGGTGCTTCATGTCCAAGCTGATCATCTCGTCGAACTGAAGCGTCTTTGAGGGGACGCCCTCTTCGTTTGGATGCAGCAGGCATAGTGCTTGTACACCTTCCTTCCGCCCTACTTGACAGGCGCCACTATGTCTTGCACCCGGATCCGGAATGGTTCCGAGGGCCGAAGGTATAGGTGGAACATCAAGAGCAGCATCAAGGCAATCTGAATCTGGTGCAGTTGCAAAGCAGCCATCGCCAGTAGGCACACAGCTTCGATGGCACGGGCATTCGTGCCGGGGTGGACACAGGCGTCTCCAACCCTTCATGCTCTGCTGAGTCTTTGGCAATGAGTGCGAACCTTTTGTACCCGGCACCTTGTACAACACTGCTGCCACGTAATTTGCTTTGCTCAGGTCTTCCCCCTCTAGATACAGAAACTCGAGGTATTCTGTCAGCAGGATATCTAGTCGACTCTTGTTCATAGTGGCTCGCAACCGGGTTCCACACCATGTCTGGAACTGCTCCCACATGGCCTCGTACTTCTTCTTCGTGAGCGGGCCCACTGAAGCCTCTCGAAGGCTGAAACCCGGATTGCTTACCTGATACTGTTTTCTTCTCTGCGACCTCTGTTGCTGCTTCCGCTGTCCCGAGTCTGCACTGAGTTCGATGCCCCATGTCAGAGGAGCAGATGGAGTTGTAACCACTGGTCACTGGTGTGTTCACCTTTGGTTTTTTCTTCACCTCCCCACTCTTCTTGTTGGTGGCCCGATCCCACGTCACCTGGACACCCAGCTGGCGGTGGGCGGTGGATCATCCCCAAAGCATCGCTCCGGCGCTGAGGCAACGTAACCCCCGCGCGAAGGCTTGTCAGAAGGATTCCACTCACTGGGGATCCACCTAACCTAGATCTAACAATACAACCTGAACAAAGACAAAGTGCTGAGACCTGCTGAACAACTCTTCTGAGCCGATGACCATGGGCTCTCCCTTTGTCCAATGCGACTGAAGCAGTAAGTGAATCTGTCAAAACAACATGCCTCTTGCCAAAATTTGTGACGTTTCTCAAAGCATGCTTCACGGCAAAAAGCGACGCTCGAGCCTCGTACACTGGCGTAGACTCTTGCTGTGCCCACTTGCTTCTGCCAACGACCTGCCAGTCCCGATCAACGGCCCAGAAACCAACAATCTGAAAGGTGTTGGTGTCCATTGCTTGGTCTGCAATCCCTGCCCCTCCAAAAACAGCTTCATCTGATGCCCTTGCAATAGCTCTTGGATTCCTAGCTGCCTCATCCTTAAACCTCCAACGCTCCAGAAAAGATCCAAGTGTCCGCACTTCTGAGGTTGCAAACTCACTGGTTGTGACCCCCAGACCCCACTCCGAAGCATCGACGGCATACACTGTGCTAGACCAACACCTCCGCATGTTGCTGTAAATGAGAACACTAGTGCCATCCCAAATTGCCAACTCCTTGCGCACACTTTTCCACAAGGGCACCACTGCTTTGTAGTGTCGCTTGCAACTTGCAAAAGGTGTAGCACTCCCCGAGCACCGAGAGCGCTTCTCGCCGACAAAATGAAACAAAGGTCATGTGTCCCAGCAACCGCTCGAGCTGCTGCCCGCTAGCCGCTAGCACGTCCTCTTCGCAGGAGTTCTCGGATTGCAGTGCGTATACGCCACAAACTCTTCAAGGTGGGCATCAAAATGCCACCCTCTTCAACCTTCCAGCCCAAGACTTCGGCGCTGCCTTCACTAACTTCAATCTCATGGACTGTCAAGCCAGCACTCCTCAACCTTTCAACTGCCTTCCAAAAGCTGTTCTCAACCACTGTTTTGTCTGTCCCAAAAAGGTGCAGGTTGTCAACATATTGGATATGCCAGAATGAGCCCGCTTTCACGGGCTCCCCATCTCTCAAGCGCTCCTCAGGTGTCAAGCCAGCCTCCTCACACAGACGTTCGTTGATGTGTTGGCACCAGTACATGGCCCAGCTCCACCCCATGGGCACTACGGCAATGCGGGGGTGAACCAAGTGCTCCGGTCCAACTTTGATGCCATCCACTTCATCGACACCTGCTTCCCCAGCTGTCAAGGATCGCAACCCAAAAAACTGACGAAGTTCCTGCGGCATCGACATTGTGTAAAAAGCATTGGCAAGATCTGCTGAAGCAAAATAAAGAGGGTTCTCCCAGTCAAAAATCAGCCTCTGGCGACCTCCTTCTTCTTCACCAGAAACATTCCTGTTCGTTCTACAGGTGGCTGATCATGCTCAAATCCAACATGCCCAAGCGAAGCAACCTGTTGACAAAACCCACGTAAACATCTTTTTGTCTGGATCCTCATAACTACGCCCCAAACCCATTGCCTCCATCTTCTCCCGGGCCTGGGCCGCTGCAAGAGTTTGGCTCGATGAAATACTCCTTCACCTCATGTTGCCCGTTTTGGCCAAGCAGATCCTCCAAGGGGACCGGTGAGAGGGTGAGGGAAGCGAAACCAATTCGGGATCAAAGGATGCCAGGGACTCGTCGGCAAGTTCTCGTACCCTTCACTAACCCGAAGCTCCATGAGGGCCTCAGGGCCGGAGAGATTGTCCGGACGGCCAGCCCTGGACCTGTGCAGAACTCAGCTCATAGTTTTCCAAGTCAAGTCCTCCACAATGCTGTAACCCAGGCCTTCCATACATCTGATTGAGGGAATCTATAGTTCTGTTCACCTCAGCCTCAATAAACCTCCGACGGCCTCTCCTCTGCTGTGCTTTGCGAGACTTGCAGCCGGAAACAAATTCTGAAACACGCATGGGCGGTATTGGAAAAATATCTCGAGGACATCGTCTATCATCTGAGCTCCGGCCAGGTTCTGCCCTTTTTGCCACCCTTGCGGGCCGCTTCCCGCTCCTCTCGCGCCTTCCTGATGTTCTTTGCCAAAGAAGCTTCTTTCTCCACTTCGCTTTTGACATGGTCCAAAAGATCAGGGCAAATCATCAGCGTTGCAAACTGCCTTGTGATACCGCCAACTGTTGTCTGCTCTTCCAAACTCAACCGGCCTCCCACCGCCTTGGACTCCATGTCGCGAGCCTTCTCACTGTAGGAGTATTCAATGGTTCCCTGAGCATCGGATATTGATCCTAATCAATAAACCGAAAAAATATCAATATTTTTGATTTGCCAAAAATATTGAAAATCATATTGATTTTGATATTGATTCCGGTATTGATTTCTGGGCAGCTTCGAAAAAGCAAATTTGATCAAATTTGCATCAATTTTGATCAAATTTGATCAAATTTGGCTGGTTTTTGATCAAATTTGA